CACCGCGACCAGTGGTCTATTGTGCCCTGCGATTTCTTTACATTTCAACCAGACCTAATGTCCTTTTAAAACCAATCAGGCTAGAGGGGCTGATATTTTTAATGTAGTTCTCCTTCGGCTAAATGTCTCCTTGGTGTTTGTGTCTTCTTCTTTCGACAGCTCCGCATTGAAATATGATGTGCAGCGGTGATTCTAGTGCTAGCTCTCACAATCTGCACATTTCATCAGAGAATATTCCGAGCCTGTATATGTGTTTACGCAGTCTACAATGTCCTGTAAGCAATCCTGTTACTATTCCTAAATTATTCTCATTCAATAATATTACATTATTAAATCTTTTGGTATCGCAGCCGTTCATGAGTTTCTTTGATTGCCTCATTTCGTTGCTGCAATGTCAATAGTTTTTTCTTATACCTTTATCCTTCCTTCTTATCTCTTCTCTCATTGAGTGGGGACCTAAGGGAAAGAATGTCTCTGGTCCAGTAGGAGAGACCTCCTGCAGGTTAGGGGCTCTAGAATTTACCCGCGGTAAGGCATGCCTGTCGTAAGAGGCTTCTAAAATCCAATAGTTCCCGCGACAGTCGGGTCTTTATACCGGAACGACCCGTCAGCAGTTTTAGAGCCATCTGTGCACCATACAAGAAAGTGCGGATTTATTACTTGCTGTATCTGAGTTTGTTTCCATGTTATTTTTTCCCCAGGGATTTCTTGAACTTGACATTGAAACTTGTTAACTTAAATATTTCATCTCTAGTAAAATTTGCTAGAGGAATTCTTTCTTTTATTTCTGCTCCTTTCTTGGCTGATATGATTTTACCTTTCCCCTACCCCTCTTTTATTATTGTTAAATCCAGTACAGTATTTTGGGGGTGCATCCCAATGTTTTTCCTACTAATCTTCTGCATACCATTATTGATCTTGTCGCTTTACTTATCATATACTCCATGTGTATTTTCTATGTTACATTGGTATCACCCCCAGATATTTCCGTCTCACTGGTAGGCTCTATTACTACATTGTTTAGCTTTTCGTCTTTTAAATTAAATTTTTTCCTCCTTGTAAAAGGCACTATTGCTGTTTTATTTGGGTTAATGTTCAGCCCTGCCTTGTTAGTTTGAATGCTCTCTGTATGATATGTATCACACAGTCTCTCGTATTTGCCTACTGCTATTATAACAATGTCATCAGCATACCCTTGACATTTTATGTCATTGTCTATATGGAGTTCTAGCAGGATCATCTCATCACAGGCTCCAAAGGAGTGGTGATAGTACTAATCCTTGGGGACAACCTTTTGTGGTCTTCATCTGAATTGTTTCATTGTCTGCAACTGTCTCTGCTATTGTTGTTAAGCATGAAGTTGATCCAATTTCGGATAGGTCCTTCTAATCTTTTCTTACGAAGTCCTTTGTCGACTGCTCCATGAGAGGTATTGTCGAAAGCTCCTTCACTGTCTAAGCTAGCGCATATCGCAACTTCTTTGTTGCCGATTGCGTCTTTAAGAATTTCTGAGAGTTGATACAAAGCTATACTAATAGATCTTCCCTCTCTGAACCCATGTTGGGCTGGGTGTAAAGATGTGTTTATAAGATTAGTTGTTCTTATGTGGATATCAATAATCTTTTCTGTAGCTTTTAAGTTCAAAGTTCGACTAAGAGCCAGGTATCTTTGTCTGGGTTTTGATTTTCCCCATTACTTGTTTTAATTTATGTTGTTGAGTCTGGGAAATGAGTTCTGAGAAGGACCATCGCTCGTTCCTTTTCATTCTTGGTGTATTCATTATCTTCTAGCTTTAGTGCCATTTTACTTTCAACCGTATCTTTAGCCAATGCTTTATGTGATCTGGCCGCTTCCGCTAGAGAGCATATACTCTCGCAGAAGTTCCTAAAGTTCGATCTTTTTGCTTCCCTTAGTTCCTTATTGTAGTTGGTAAGAGTTCTTTTGAATTTCTCCCAGCTATCACTTTTCTTTGCTTTATTGAAGTCTCTTCTTACATCTCTTGCGTTAGGCTTCGATAACTTGCAACTCGAGTGAAATACTTCCATTATGCTGTTATTTAAGTATTCTATTTTCTGTTCTAACTCCTGAAAATTCCTTGCTTTGTTTGTTATTTCTCCCCTGTTCCAGGGGTTTCTTATTGTTTTACTAGTCTTGACTAGAGCTCCTACAGAGAATTGTATGATTCTATGATCTGACATAGACGGTTCCGGCAATACCATCCATTGTGAAATCATACTCTCAGACCAGGTGTTTACTATTGTAATATCTAGTACCTCTTTCCTATTCCTTGTAACGAATGTGGGTGTACACCCCACGTTGGCTACATAGATAACTTTACTTAGCATGAATTCTACTTAGCATTTGTAACAAAGCCTATTACTAAGAGAAGATGTTCATGCTGAGAGCACTGTATTAGCCGTTCCGCTTCTGAAGTAGTGATTGTACAAGACCTTTGTAAGTCCAAGGCTCCTGCGTTAAAAAAAACTCAGATCATGCAGGTAATTCAGACACACAACAATAAGTTATTTAGCAGTGATTGAACTTAATTATAATAGCTTGAAATAAAACTATCCTGTACTGTCCTTTTCTCTCTAAACATGCTAATGCTTTTTCTTGATCTTCTCTATTTGATACTCTATCCTGTTCTACTTCTGTTGTATCTTGTCGAGGCTCTTTTTCTTGGGCCCGACCTCCATGGTTTAATAAGTATACTTCCAAGCCTAAAGTTAAGTCTAGAGCTGTTGCTCGTCATGTTATTGAACGACTCGCCATCCACGCATAGGTTTTGCTTTAGACGGGTTCTTTCTTCTATTTTTTCTAACACCTTCCATTGGGAGGTGCGAAGATCTTCGCTTTGGGCTTGCAGTAGGCCTAACGCGTATGCTTTCCTCTCGTCTACACTACAAGAAAGGACAATTTTAAAATTGTGGGTTTGGAATACGTTTTCGCCAATTTTTATGGTAAGTTCTTTGCCCAGGCGCTATATACTAACATCAAACCATTTTTTATCAATTTGTGATGCCCACTCGAAAATATTCTATATGTTAATCTTGGTAAAATGTTACTAACTAAATTAATTTTGAGCAAATCAATACCGGTTCCGAGTCCACTTCCCAGAAATAAAAGTAGTGCGCGATCTAATCCCGTTATATAGGACTAATGGATTGTTCACGAACCACTTGGTCATATTTAAATTATACTCTTTTTATTTGCTATCCGCTAGCGAGCGAAACTTGTAAGCCGCGGCATATTTTTATTCTATTTGAGCAACTAATTAAATTTAGCTTACACTTCTCTTGTTGAGTACCCTACAAGCATTGCACAGTCTATCTGTCTGGAGGCTGTGCAATGCCTACAAGAAGGCTTTCGATCATTTGAGCCAACATATGTGTGTCAGGAATGGCTGAAGTCATATATCGTTAACTGGTTGAACGAACTTTCTTTCACTTTCACATTTGTATAAGTGTGACATTCTCTCTTCGTTCTCTTGTGCATTTTAGTTATTCTTCTCAGAGAAACAGAGCACAGCGGAGCGAGAGCATTTGCTTTGTTCGGTGAGAAATGTCAGTAAAAATTAGCCAGTAACGAAGTTCAGAGAGTAAAATATTTTACTCTCTTAAAGATAAAAAGTTACTTAGTTTCCACCGCTGCAAGCCTTTACATTTTAATCCGTTCACTTACACAGTTTATTTTTTCTGCTTTTAAGTTTTTCCTAAGTATTTTAATATAATTGCCAATTATATGGCATTTTTAATTTATTAATTTTATTCAAGATTTGTTGTATTTCAGCAATAATCAAATTCATGCTTTATAGCCGACAAACGATAAAGCTACCAACATTAGTTTCCTCTCTAAGGACAAAGATTTATGTCAACTTGCTTCGCACAAATTTATGGGTTATATTGTACTTTAGGCAAGGATAATTCAAATACGAGTTTGAGTTGAGTTTGGTATTATTTTGTCGAGTAAGCCGGCAATATTAGCTTAACATTATTAAAGCGTTACTTTTATATTGTTTAAATAAAATACAAAGAAAGTTTTATTTTCCATTTTAAACGTGACTAATATAAGTACCTTAGCTGTTTAAGTGAATCTTTGATAACATTAAATCTACTTTAAAAAAATTACAATTGGGAGTTTATGACGTTAGTATATTGTTCAAATTTAAATGCTAATATTATTTTAATTCTAATTCAATTTTGCTTTGTTGGCAAAAATTCAATCATATGATCACAAAACAGCTGTTTTTCAAACTTTTTATTGGCTGAAATTTTCTCAGCACGAATTCGCAATTTTCTCGCCAAACTAAATGTCAATATTGCAANCTGAGTGTCGCCTTTCTATAGCAGTCTGCTGCTCGCAGACGAAAGCGTAGAAGCATCGAATTGTTCGCTATGGAAGGTTCTTGTTTTATCGTTTCTAGAACGTACTAGTTATCGGCTTCTCTCTTTCATCTGACATTCGCCTCGCATTTTCGCAACAATACGATAGAGAATTGCCCTACTGGTCAACGAACACATCTACTTTTGACAAACATTAACATTAACGCTTATGTTTAAATGTATTTACATGACATTTTTCTTAATTCTTTTTGAAATTAGTTATTTGAACAATTTTTGATATACACGGTTACGTACCCAAACTTAAGTGATTTACTGTGTGTACCAAATTACAAAAACATCGAGCCATACATACGATTTTTCGAATAAGAGACGCCCAATTTGTTTTTTAATTTTAATGTCCGTGGGTAGGATGCGTGTGGTAAAAAACAAATTTCAGTGTAATTGACAACAAAGTAGCAGCAAAATTATTCCCAGCTCCCTCCAGACGATTTTTATTTTATTAAAACTTATCGCTATACCACATATTTTATTTAATACCTATTCGCAACCCATACCATTTCAGTTTAGCATTACAACTCCAACAACGGAGACCTGGAAAATTCTCGTGCGATACTAACCATATTTTTAAATGACCTTGAAACCACCTCTCGGCCCACATAAAAAATAAAATGTTCCATAAGTTTAATTTATAAGAACAACGGTAATCTTAATTATAATCATGGTGAAACGAATTAAATTAACTTTAATCTGTAAAATCCACAAATTTTGTTTGACCTCCTTTCGCAATAATAGCTCCGTCATTTTTTTGCATCAGAACGCATTCAATAAAAGCTAGCTTTCTTCCTGCCCGAAGCGTCTTTGCAGACACAATGACCTCATCACCTTCTTTAGCTGCTTTTAAGTAAGTGACATGCAAGTCAACTGAAACACCTGGATGGCAAGGCTTAGACATTAATGCGTACGTCGTCACCATATCAACAATGGTTGCTGTAAAACCACCATGTAAAGATCCTCCACGGTTTAAATGCTCAGGGGCAACTTTAAATTCAGCTGTACATTTACCATCACCACCGTCGACTATTTTAACCTGGAAATAAAAGGCAGAGTTTGTTTACACATACATACATATATATTCAATAATTATTTTCTTTATATTAGACTAACTCGCGTTTATATACTTTTCAATATAAGACGCTAGAAAGATAATAAAATATTGGGTTTGCGAATATTTATATATATACCTTTTTCTTAGTGTAATGGGATGTAGTTCTGCTTCGGGATATGGAGTTACAGTTACAACGCTTTACCCAATTCCAACTTTTGCGTTCTCATCACGCACCCCGGATATGTGAGTAACCTTTGAGCGAGATGCGGTAACTAACTCCCGTGGAGCCTTCGGCCACGGCTAAAAGAGAGGGAGCCAATCCGACATATCCATCTTAAGGGTTTAATACAGACTTTTGCAGAAAGAACTGCAGACAGATTTCTTCGAGATGTTGGGTGGAGAAAATAACTATGAGGTGTAGAGCTAAATCGACAAGGTACAAACTCTTACAAGAGTATACAATTTCTGATGTATGCCGATGATATGGAAATCATTGGGGTTAACACCCAAGTCGATAGTTTTGCTCTTCTGAAGAACGGGAACAAGACAAAATATCTTCTGTACGGACGAGAACGATAAGCGACTTATAGAGCTTGGTTTTCGCTCGTTAAGTGCTTATGCAGTCCAAAGTAGCATCTGTTGGCAAGAGTGATTCTGCGCTGGTTCTCAGTGCCGACATTATTATCCCACTATTATTATAGCAGGTCCCTAGATAGACGAAATCATTTGCAACTTTAGAGTTATGACTGTCAACGTGACGTGGGAGCCAAGTCGCGAATGCGATGGGCAGTAGAGCTGGCAGAACAGATAGACTGCTTAACATTTTGCATCAGGAACTACGAACCCTCAAAAAATTGTGAGCAATGGCTACGCTGATTCTAACCCTGGCCTGCCCAAGACCGTAACAGGAAACGTGAGTCCCAAAACGTCAGTTCCAAAGCAACTCTACACTGTTACTCATTCCTAATTACAACTGTGCGATGTATCATATTCCAAAATGTATCGGTAAATTTGCTTTTGTTTGCTTACTTGTTTGTTTGTTTTGATTTGCTAAGGTTTGTGATGCTTTATTTTATTTTAAATTCTTAACAACAATGGCCGATGTCGGAGGGTAAGTTTTGTGTACTAATTCTCTTTTTAAATATTATATTACTTAATTTTTAGGTCTGTTTTATATTTTTAGGGACAAAAAGTGGAGAAACTTATTTGCACGAAGAGCGTTCCAAAATATCAGAGTTTGTAAAGTATTGTTGCTTTGTAAATTTATAGAATGCAGCAGTATTCCATTGTAATGATACGGTTGCGCAACGGCATCACTTCAAAGTGTTTTGACAATTCACATGAAGCCTCCTAATGTTATATCAAATCACTTGCACAGAGAAACATTCTTTTTACGAGTTAAGAAGCATGTTATGCTGTTCAAGCAATATCTACTAGATAAACGGAGTACCGGCAGGTTGTCGTTATTCACCGAAAGTCGGTCAACACCTTACCGAACTCTCTTCCAATTAACCTTCCACTACAATGAAGATCTGTATATTTCAGTCGACTGAACACATACATATCCAGACTTGACCCCGACATACCCAACGTATGTTCTGTATACAATGAGACCCCCCACACTAGCCACCTCTTTGCATGCCTCTTAAAACTAATTTATCTGGCACCCCTTTCCCTCTCGCACGAGCCCATTGAAAGAGCTCATTTTCTGGACTTTCCATTAGATGACCTCGTCCCAAGTAGTATCTGTGGGCAAGAGTGATTCTGCGCTGGTTCTCTGGGCCGACATTGTTATCCCATTATTATTATAGCAGGTCCCTAGATAGACGAAATCATTTGCAACTTTAGAGTTATGACTGTCAACGTGACGTGGGAGCCAAGTCGCGAATGCGATGATTGTTTGATGGCAGGAGATATTTCATCTTGCCCTAGTTCACTACCAGACCCATATCGTTCGTTTCCTTTTCCAGTATGGGGAAAACAGAACTCAGGACACGGTTGTTAAGGGAAGTCTTAATGTTTGTAATATAAGCATGGTAATGTGGCCAGGACGGTTTAGAGTTGCACTAAAAAGGAAGGAAGTCATCTTTTACTAGAAAGGCATGCAAAAAGGTTTGGTGTACCACCGAACGACTTTGTTGAAATTTCGAAAGTATAAATTCATTAAAATATCGCGCTCGCTATCGGCTGTAGTTATTTTATTCTCACAAATGGTCAGGTAATAAACTAATTTGTGCGGTTCTTGACGTACGCAATATTTTTATCACAGCTGATCTGGAAGTGACCAAAGCACGCTTCAAATATTTTTAATGTAAAACCAACGCAATTACAACACATTAAGAATTTGGTTTCAGCTGCGGCTATAAAAAAAAATTCCTGAGCTCCGTATAACAGCTGGATCAGCTGGAAAAATCCAGCTGTACTAAAAACTTTTGCGTTTAAAATGCAACCAGGTGACGACGTGGCAAAATATACAAAGGTATTCGTCGGTTAATAAATTCTCTGAGTTGGAATTCATGATTATTGACGAACTTAAAGTGATTTTTTCAAGCCATCTAAATTCATGGGAAAATTTATTAGTCTCTATCGAAACACGCGATAATCTTCCACAAGAAAATTCTCCAAGCTACCTTGCTGTCACCAGATCGAAAAGCTCATAACCATATCGATTACGTTATGATAGTCGGAAGACATGTATCCAATGTTCTGCATGATTGATTCAGAATTCTTATACAAGTGTTTTCGTTGGAAGAGGACGTATTTAGGAGTTTTTTTTTCGGCTTAAAGAATTAATGCAGGATGACAAAATTTCAGAAATAAAAAAAAAATTTAAGATTATTTTCAAAAGCTCGGCATCAGTGCTTCGTTCTTAGTAACGAATACAACAATGCAGGGATTAGAGCTAGATAACATTGTTTAAATGAACTTAATTTGTGTTCATATATTTCATTTAACTATCCTATGTAATCACTACAAATATAAAATAAATACACAAAACCATTTCACAAATTATTGCAATTCAATTTTTATTTTATAAATACTTAAACATAAATAAATTCATCAACTTAAACAAATGGAAATAATTTAAAAACTTCAATGAATGTAAAGAAATTAATGACCCGGAATTCAAATTATAATTTTCCTGACTGAGTTCATTTATACAATGATGATAAGGTAGCATCCAATTGATACCTTGACAGTTCTCTGATTTTTTGAGTACCTAAAAAATTAGAGAGCTCCTTTTTGGACAAATTTTTTCATACTCTCGCTACTGAAGTGCGAATCGTCTATGATGACAAAAATATTATATATCAATTAGTAAGTGACTTTCGTAAATAAATTTCGTATGGATGGAGAAAAGAAAATACCTAGTTTCTAAAACTATTTTTTTTCTAGCTAACTCTTAGCTTTTGAATCACTATATTTCAAAATTTTCTTAAGGAATGTGAAAATACTTCTACATTGGTGTTACCAGACTACTGAGTAAAATTCTTTAGTGTAAAGTCTGTATTTTTTGCATATTCTTAATAAATACATTTAAAATACTTGGCTAAGCAGGCGTTGAAACTAATATAAAAATTTTATATAAATTGTTGTGTGAAAATAAATGTTAATCTCTTAGATATATAACCCTGGGCTGGACCAACACCGGTTTCGCCTTGCACAGTATTCTTAAGTCCTTTGTAGGTTGGAGGCCTTCGTTCGGGCTTTAGACTGTAAGCCTGGGTCGGACCAATACCGACTTCGCCGTACGAGCTCCTCGAACACACTCATGTGCGCTGCCCCCGCCACGACGTCAAAATTCTGCTTGGCGAGTCTAACGTCAGGGTGGGCAAATAAGAAATCTTCGGCACAACTGTCGGAAAATTCAGCATCAACGACGAAAAATGCTCTAGTGGGCTGAGGTTGGTTGGTATGGTTTACTGTAGTACAAGATTTCAGAACAAAAAAATTCACCACTTGGCTGTCTCTAGATCGAAAAACTCTCAACCAAATCGATAATGTTGTGATTGAAAGAAGACATGTATCCAGTGTTTTATACGTACGTATGTTCTAAAATCCTAATATCGATTCGAATCACTACCATCTCGCTACGAACATATGCACCTGCATCTGTGTATCGATGTATCGAACGCCCATCAACAAAAAACTATGAAAGCTCGACGTTGAAAAGTTGCAATCAAAATAGACTGCGTACGGCTGCAAACGAAACTTCTGGATTTCACGTGTCGCGGTAGGGAGAAAACAAACTGCCTACTTCACAACCTGCGATCGACCACAACACGTACCTGGGGGATATATACCGAGAGCTGAAGAGGGAAGCAAGACGCATCTGCAGTGAAAAAATAGATATAAGCCGAAGTGCGTGAGTACGAGGAGCTTGAAAAGCTGGCCGACAAGGGTAACGCTCGAAAATTTTCTGAGAAGATATGACGACTTACGGAAGGTTTCAAGACAGGAGCAAACTCTTGTAGGACCAAGCGAGATGTGCTAATGACGGATGCCCAGAGTATACTGAATGGCAGTCAAAATGAAACACCCGGATATGGTGAACCCGAAACTTCAATTGCTGCCGATTAAAAGGTTTTTCCGTTACCCAACTATGAAGAAGTCCGAATAGCAATCGCCTCAAGAACAACAAAGCGGCGAGGACCAATGGATTACTGGCCGAGCTATTCAAAAACGGCGATGAAGAACTGATCAGGTGCACGCATCAGCTTCTTTGCATAAACTGCTCGAATGAGAGCATGCCTGACGATCTGTGGAATAAGCTTCCTTAACATCGCATATAAGGTCCTATCAAGCGTATTGTTTGAAAGACTAAGGTGATCCTCAGGTGTAGTACCAGCACCAGTAGTAGCTTTAAAATCTGAGAACTCATGTATTGATAATATATAATTATAAAAACGAACTTGATGAAGCTCTAGCTAAAATTTTCAACCCTGCTCACAAGATGTATGCTCATACCGCCGCGATATAAC